TGTGTTCTTCTCTCTCTCTCTCTCTCTCTCTCTCTCTCTCTCTTTGTCTATCTCTCTGTATATCTCTCTCTCTCTCTCTCTTTCTCTCCTTCTCCCTCTCTTCCATCCTTGCCAGCAGTGTCTCTGTATTGTTGGGTAAAAAGGAAGGCAGAGATTTCTTCACAGAAGTAGCCCGTTGGCTGTGGAACAGTAGTGACGGAATCCTGAAAGCCACTCGAGGAAGAAAGAGCCGCGGAACGCTTGGTTCCATGGCCTAGAGCATCCTGTATTTCTGATAACGTACAGAACTCGGTAAGCTTCCCAACAAGAAGGTTGGTGAATGAAACTGAACGAGGAACCGGTAAGCAAGGAGGAGCCCTTTCGCCCGAAGGTACTCTATCAACCTTATTGCCGAAGGATATCGTTTCGCCCCCTCAACGTTTTGCGCCAACTCCGACAATATTCACCTTGATACGATTCTCAAGTTCGATCACCGTTTCGACGCGTGTATCTTTCGGTTCGTCCGTCGGAAGAGAAGGAATCCGTATGAAAAGGAACTCGCCTTCGAAATGTTTTTGAAGAGGTCGTAATCTATAATCGTGGAAGAATAGAAGCCGGAACACGGAACGACGATCGTGTGGTAACTTGCCAAACTTGCCTTCCTCGCGACATTCGCTTGGCTCGTACAGCCCATGGATCCCGATAACAGGAGGCGAACAAAATTAGCTTCCGCCTCGTTTCTAACGAGAAAGAACTCTTTCGCGAGAACTCGCTTGGCCATCGAGGAAGAACGGTTCACCGATAATTTTATGAATTAACGACAGTTTAACGACCATCCGATACTTCGGAACCCCGATTCACGATCCACGGTAGAGGAAGGCCCTGGATTCGCACGATATCTTCTAAGAAAATCGATCTGGCCAAGTTACCCTCGCCCTTAAGGAGTGATCTTTTAGGTGCAGAACGGAGGCCAGTTCTGCCCCTAGGTTTCCAGGGCAACACAAACTTTCCTCTTTTCCCCGGTTGCGTTAATCAATCCTCGGGAAGGGGGGCGACGGGAAGCCGGTAAACAATTGCAACACAGTGGAACGCGGATAAAAAGTTGCCTCTTGGTCCATCCTCGGTCCATCGAAAACAGGTGCTAGTCGACGCGGGAGAATCGAGTTTCTCGAACCTGGAGTGGAGGAGCAGCGACGAGTTTGTTCCCTTCGAAGCAAGGGATTTTTCAATCTCTGATAGAAGGTGGAAGACGGTTGGAGACGGGTTGGATCGGAGGAAGGAAGGACGCGGTGAATGTGGGCGGGGGACGAGGATTGGCGGCGAGCTGGGTGAAAAAGGGCGAGGCAGAAAAATATGGTGCACGAGGCCACGGGTCCGTGGCACGGCGCGGGATTCAGCGTATCGAGGTGGCTGATGATCATAATACACGGATACCGGCCTACCACCCTTTTGCTATCCATTCTACTTAACGTGCTGGTGCGAACTGCCGGTGAGTATAGGCGTGTACACGATATGGTTCTCGGTTTCCTCGCCACGTTTGTTTCACTCTCCACCACATTGGTCCTCTCTCGAGTGTTTGCGTTTCGCTCGATGGAACTGTTTCGTCGTTTCGCCCACGGCGAATCCATTCCGTGCTACATAGCGCTCGTAATCGTCGCTTTGCCGAGGTCAAAGTAATACAGGCACTGCTATATACCATCACCACCACCATCATCATCACCATCACATACGGTCCCGTCGTTCGAATTCAGTTTCGAAATGCCTACGATCATCACTTTTATACATTTTCACAATCTCGAATCGAGCTCGAACCATCCTGCAATATCACTTTACCATCGCGCAATAATATCTCCGTTTCGACTTGGATCAGCTATAAAAAGTTTAACGCGGCCATCGTCCCATGGGGGGATGGATTCTACGAAGCTACTTTGGTTTTAACAAATTCCGACCGAATTACGAGCGCGCCGGCTCGAGTAATTCGCTTATAGAGAGAAGAAAGTGCGACGCTTCTTTATCAATCGGTAATAATCTCGGGATAATCTGTCAAAGATCTTTTCTTTAACGCTTAATTTTGTTCGCGTTCGTTCTTATATTATATATATAACGGAAGCAGACTGAAAGTTAAAGTTCAATGAAATTACATTTATTATTCATTATCGGGACGAATATAAATTTTCCGATTGACAGATATATATATATATATACACTGTATAATAGGAACTATAAGGGGAAGGGGATACTCGTGGAAACTTGAGAGACGTGCATAATTAATCGATTCGAATTGATCGCAGTCGTTCCGCGTTAATGGATACGCCCGAGTTCATCCTTAAAAAGTCTCGCGTCTTTATTCGTCCCCAGGCGTATCGTGTGTACTTTATAGATCATTTATAAATCCTCTGGAAAGACATTGGATCGCGATAAAATTCATGGAAAGCAATATATCCGCCCCTCTTCCCCCTAATAGACCGAACCAAACTATTGTGTAAAGTTCTTATAATATAACCGTTTAACGTGCTAATGCGATCCCATGCTAAGTTTCCCGGAGCCCTCGTTCCTCTCTTCAAGAAGTTAACTCGATACTCTTTCCCTGATCTTTAAGCTCCGAATACCTTTAATCTCTTTTCTTTTCGTTATTTCATTATCGTTACCGTTGTCCTTTTACACCCGAGGAGCTGGCCGTTTAACGCCTTCATTCACGTTTAACGCCCCCCTCTCTCCGGTTAATCGGGCAAATACTATTCGTAAATTCGCGAGATAAGTGCTCTCGGCCATTTTGCAGTCCCTGTTCATTCTCAAAGCGAGTGTTCTATTACTCGCTCGATCGGGAAAGAAGCGTTTCGAACGTGCAAATTACACCGTGGTACCCCACCTTCGTTAATGTGCAATTAACCGGAGGGGTTTCATAAATTACGGTCAGATGTAACGCCCTGGAACGTGGCAACGCGTTATAATATATTCCCGTGGAAGAAAATAACTGGCTCGGTGTCGATTAGCAGAGAACTCTTGATACCGTGACCATATTATTGGTATCGAATTACCGCTTCATCGAGTCGAAATTGCACTTGAAATTCGATCATTTTCCACACTCGTTCTTTAGCGAGCGCGTTACGATTCTACGGGCAAGACTCCACCGGGGCGAGAGTTTATAAAGAATCCATTTCTCATTCGTTTTGTTTCCGCGTTTTTATCGCGCTCGATAATCCTAAGTCCATCTTTTTTTCCTTCTTTCATGATTCATGATAAACCGTTTTCGCAGCATTCGGTTTCGTTATGAACGCGTGGAAGGATTAATGGCAACGTCACGCGTGTTCATTATGCAAATGAATGAACGAAAGTTTGTAAATAAAGTTCGGTTGGTGGAAATCGCGCTTTCATATCATTCGCGAACAAACGCGAATAGATTTGCGAATATTTTTCCCATTAATTACGGGCATAGATATCCCGCAACGAACCGTTTCTCGCACGAGTGCGATATACGTGCGTTTTAAGTAAGCTAATAAAGCATCCCATCCAATGTTTCGAAACATCGCAACTATTCTTCCTTCCTCAACCAGTTGTTACAACTTGTTACGACGTTTATCGTATCCATTCGATTCGTTTCCTGGATCCGACTCAATTAAATACCTAACAAACGTAGTTGCAGGTTATTTGCTTAATTCGCATCGAGCGTATTAAAAGGAAATGGAATATAAACGGAACGAGTCGGATCCATCCTCCTCCTTCATTTTCTCCGTATCCATTGCCTCCGTTTCTGAAAAATAACCGCGTCAAATCCAAGTCGAGCTTAAGTCAAATTTAATCCCCCCTTGTTTCCATCTCCCTCGAGAGGGATTGATCACCACGCTGTTTACCATTCTCCTTTCGCCCAAGAAAATCGGTTGCCCGCCACGCCGCAGATTCGCCCCGCTTCGTTTAGGCTCACCTTAATTCAATCTATTCTCTGCGTAACGGAATAGCAGCAGGGTTACTCGTCGTACAATTTCGAAACACGGCGAGAGACCTACCGGAGGGGGTATGCATCCCTGTTGATGCAAATTTCAGACGCTCTCTTGTGTTCTGCCGCGCCCCAACTTCCGCGGAAGGAAGGTTATACTTCGATGAGAGGTAGGGGCAAAACTCGCGTGTCTTCCGTTTAATTATATCGGGAAAGGTTTATAGTTCCCCCTCGCCGTGACACCTCGTCGTCGTCGTCGTCGTCGTCGTCGTCGTCGTCGGGGCTTGGTTAGGCTCGTTTATACGCGTTACACGGTTTATTGCGCCGAACAAAAAAGCCGTGGGCCCGCGCTCTCCTCTCTTCTGTCGCTACACTCTATGTAAAGAACGCCGGTTAAAAAGGCGGCTTTCAACGTGACACGTGTGTCGGATCGTAAAAAAGCAAAAAGAGATACTTTACACGGGACGGGGGATGGGTAAACCGGTGTGCCGTGTCGCGGCTGTTCATCAGTTTACCCGCTAAATATACTTGGTGGAGGAGGAAGAGAAGAGCAGAACCTCGGATATTCTATATCCATGGCCATCTGTGCCGGCTGGTGGCCGCTTCGTGTGAAGCTTCGTTTTGCTCGTGGAATTTCGTGGCCGAAAAATAGTTTGCGCGATATCTCGTCCGGGTTTGAAACGAGAGTCCGTATAATTTCGTTCGATGTATTTCGCGAGCGGTTCGTTGATCGATACCGGTTCCGCCTCGGGCCTTATAATCTGCTCTCTATCCGTACCGCGCACTGTTTCCAACTCGAAACACATAGTTATTATAATATAGCTGGCGTGTGTCAGACACGTGTCGGAAACACGGGACGTTTCAAACATTTCGAACGTTACCGAGAAATTTCCTTACCGATTTGCGCCCGATCGTGGTGGGTGCTTACACTTTGAGGAGAGTTTCGAAGATTTCACAGGTTTCAACGTGGACGGATCTCTTTCGAAGAGAGTAGAGGGGACGAGAGAGCCGACTCTCTACAAACGTGACGCGAGGAGTCATAGCATTCGGAATAAATTTCCACGGAACACGAAGTCGAATAAGTTGGCAACGGAGGGTGTAAGAGAGCGTGGCGGTAGGGCCAACTTATGGTGGGACAAACGAGCCCGACATCGTGCTGTTTTATTTCTAGTTTAGCGCGCGTCGAGGGAAAAGTTGGTAGTTAAATTGCTCCGAAAGACGTCTTGGCTTATTCCATGGGAATTTACGAATATTGCTGTTTCTTTAAGACCCGCAAGTATCCCATTTTCCAAGTTTTTCAGTAATAACGACACCTTACAGCCGATTATTCCGGTCATGGGATTACACGCTTACTTTTCTCCTATCGATAATACACCGGTCGATCCTCGTTTAACTCATCAATGATTACGTGTCGTTGGAAGAATCGATTTACGTCTTACGTGAAAAGAGGAAGAGAGATGCGCGGATACCTTTTTAAAATGTTGATTGCCTCGTTCCATGATCCTACTACCATGGACCATTAATTAAATTATCCTTGACAATAACCTGAAATAACGGGGGTACGGTATTTCCGTTTAAAGGAGGAGGAGGAGGAGCTAGTAATAATTCCTCGTTCGATAACTTCCTTGAAGGGGAGGGGAAAAAAATGATCGCGCAAACAAAATTCTCAACCGGACTGGCATCTTGGTGGAACCTTTTTATCTTGCCACGAATTGCTCCTCGTGCCGTTTCGCGGCGTACGTTCCATAACAACGTGGCTCGTTCGAGTTCTTATTATTTTAATAGAAATTCTTGGCACGGTCTCGTTCCAAAATAATGAAACTTTTCCCGGATAGCCTTTGGAAGTTTCGCTATTTGTTTTTACCGGTCTCACACCGGTAGCCTCGTACGTATACGCGCATACATCCGAGAGAGGGTCTCGAGAGTCCCGAAGTTAAATCGAGCGCCGGACGGATGGAAAAATCCGACCAGTAAATTTGACGTTCCATTGAATAATAATCGTGCCGCGAATCCATCTTCTTGCATTCGTTAAACACTCGATCGTAAATTATCCTCCTTATCCTCGTGAAACTTTTATTTCATCTTTCGTCCTTTATTTCACCGGCTCTCTCTCTCTCTCTCTCTCTCTCT